ATAATAATAATAATAATAATAATAATAATAATAATAATAATAATAATTATAATAATAATAATAATAATAATAATAATAATAATAATTATAATAATAGCACACTCACTCAACTTGGCGGGAATGGGCTTCCATGTTTATCTCACTGTGACGGTTTCTGACGTAGATCCAACTTTAGCGACACCGACAATTAATACAGGTTCCGATGCTTTCCAGTCGTCGGTCAGTGGTCAGCAAAACACGCTACGAAGTGCTATTACCGTAGGCAAGAGGGTCCGTGCGTGACGACGGGGACGATGCAAATGATCCGATCTGTGGTGGACAATGTTTACGAGCAGGTCACAGCGGGTTGTTAAATGTCGTACGCGGCGAGGGAAAGAACGAGAGTCGATCACCGACGCATACCGTTACCTGTTGCCCATGCGTGCCCCTAACACCGTATTCCGACGCCTACACTCGACGGGGTGCAAGGACCCAGCGCCGTCCAAGAAGGGATGTTTGACTCATTGTGCACGCGGCCTACTGTCCACATTGTACCGTAGCAGTGGTAGTTTTACACTATAGACCTATTTATTTATATATAAATACAGATTTATCTGTTGGTGTATGTCATTTACCTGCTTGCTCGTAGACGGGTCCCAAGGATATTCACTGTAAAAAAAAACGACCTTGAATCCACGTGTAACTGCGATCACGATCGAAAAAGATGCGTAAGGTTAGGTTTCATTTGGGGAATTCGAGGCACGTTTACAGTTGATCGCATTTTTACGAATACCCGTCTGTAGCTGACAATACATTTCTCCGTCCAACCCGAACTGTGTGTGTCACCAAGTCATATATACATTTATACAGCGTAAACCAACACAATAGAATACCACAACTTAAAAAATTCGTTACTTCAAAACTTGACTACGTAGAGCGTACTGCTATCTACCGTTATGAATAATAAGTTCTTAAGTTTATCAATAGTGCCCATTAATACAGAAAAAAACAAAAAAAAACATAAAAAGGTTTTTTATTATGGTTCGTAACGTCTCGTTGCCATGGTTTTGCTAATACAAAAATTGGCGTTATCGAATTCGATAAAATCGAATCGGTAAATGCCGAAAGGGAAAGTTAATCGTCATAACGTTCGCATATGGGGTACTGGAAATTCTCACAAAATCGTTAAGCATTCGGGCGATTCTTCAAAGGTTACTTAATGTTTTCTGTACGGTTTCAAAGAAGGCGAAACCAATCTTCTCTTTTTTCAAAAAGTTAAGGTCACTGGTGCCAACTACTTAGACATGCTTCAAATTTGATTGATGTCTTTGTTTGAACAATGAAGTGGGAACTTCATTTTTCAGTAAGGCGATTTCCCCTCTCCCAATGAGCACTTATTTATTTGTACTTGAACAAAGAGTATCTACAAAACAAAAATAACTATTATAGAAAGAAAGAGGAGTACTAAGTTAAATCCTTAACAAACAGGATATTCAACAGAATGGAACTAGCATTTAAAGATAAACCTATTATTCAATCTTATGTAATACAGTAATAACTAATCAAAATTAATTATTTTAACCAACATTCAGCATTGTTAAATAAAAAATAGAAAGCAATGGTTGAATTAAAAATATTCATGAGTATTTACTAATTTTAAAGTTATAATAAATATAGTAACATAAAGAATGAATTGATTTAGCACATTTAACTGTTGTAAAGCAACAATAAATATTTTTTAAATAGTTTTAATTTAAAGTAAGTTAACGTATGGATTATACGGCGCCATGAAGTCTCCTGCGGATGACATCACAATCAGTGCCGTAACTACAGTAACTTGGCCCAGTGGCGTCATTTCAGTTTTTGATAGGAGGGGGAAAAATCTTTGATTAGCCCATACTACCGGCAGAAATATGAAGTTTCGCTCACACGTTTTAACTTATACTTATGGCAAATATTTTATATATTATATTATTAGTATTAAACCTATTAGAATTAATAGTAAAAATCGCTTTGAAACAGAAAAATCAATGAGAGTGTATAAAAACTATTACATATTTGCAAGATCTTGGTACTTTATCGGTTAATGTATTTTATAGTTAAAATAAATTGTTGTACATAAAAAACATTGATATTTAAATAATATTTATTTGCGACACACTACGACGGTAGCAACGATGAAGTGGATAATCTATGTCCAATGAATAATGTCTTATTCTATTTACATTCTTTAACGGAACGCGACTTGAGTTGAACAGAGTTTTATTAGTTTTAAGTACAAATTATACATATATGAACATTACATAATTGTCCAATAACAAGTACTCTGAAAAGTGTACATAAAATACAACAAATAAATAAATAATACAAGCTTGAGAAGTTGTACATCTACTTAAAACGGTTGACTTTGTTATAGTGAATTATAATAATGGGTAGTGATTAACTGAACGGAGAACAACTGGACCGAACGGAGACTGCAAGCTGCGACGGGACTTCACGTTCAATCTGTTACGGTATTACGGAGTGTTGTAACTGTGACGAGATTCCTCCTGTTACGGTTTGGCTGGACCCGGTTCCTTTCGGTGCTCCATTGACGAAGAGTACATAAACACGTTTACAAACGATCAGGGGTTTGGTCCTCGCTGGCAGTATGAAATAAAACTGAGCGCCGCTGTACGGGCTTGTGCTCGTTTCATCATCATACTAGCGAGTCAGGAATACCAATGAGTATAGTCAATAAGTTAATAATAAATACTCTTTAAATCAGTGTTGTATATGTTGGTATATTTTAGTGAAACCACGTTCCGGTAACGGGACGGGGTTTCGAGGCGCTGGTTCTCGCTACTAGATCGGGTTTGCAGGTTGTGGATAGCGGTATTAAATACTCCCTTGTCATGGGGTGACAGGCGGAATAATTTCAGAATACGCCTGCCCGAACAGCGAACTTGCACGCATGAATGGTTCGGGGTGGCGGCTTTCACCGATGCTGGCCGTTTGCGTAAAATATCATTCGTACTTTGAGCCGCAGAGCCGGGTTACGACCAAAATTTACCCCTAAGCCGTATTCGGAGCCTCACGTAGCGTTGGCTGATCGTCTAGGGGGTCCCTCGGGTGGCGGTTTGCACTTCTCACGTCAGTCTCGGTTAAACGTCGCTTCATCTCGGTGTTCCAGTCAAATCATACCCCCGGAAATTATTACTGGGGGGGAGGGTAAGATTTTTTTTAGGCATATTTTACCCCCGGTATAATTATCTTAGGTTAATTATACCCCCTTCAGGGGGTAAGATTATTCTAGGAAAGTTTTACCCCTCGGTAAGAATATCCTAGGATAATCTTACTTTCCGGTAAAAATTTACTAGGAATATTGTACCTCGAGGGGGGTATGATTTTTCTAGGATATTTTTACCCTTCCGGTACAATATTCCTAGAACTTAACTACGTTCTAAAAACACCTGCACAAATAAAATAATTTTTTTAAGCGATCTGTTTTTTAATGTAAAGATAACGGTATAGGTATAAACGTTATTTTATTAATACAATTTTTTTCTTCTCCATCCTATTATCAACTAAAAATAATAATTATTAACAGATCATATGCAACTATCGATTTCAAGACCACAATTTTGCTAATTTTCTATATTTTATGATTTTCTGGTAACTGGCCGAATAAATATGTAAAAAAATTCGGTGTAGTCGATAACGTCTTACAAATAATTTCCAAAAATACTATGATTTCAGTGAAATCAATAAACATCTGGCTGTCACAGTACTATTACCAATCTAAGGAAACCGATGACCAATAGTTAAATACCAGACATTTATAACACACGTATATACGATAATATACTGATCAAAGGTTCGTATTTGTCGCCGCAGTCGTCGTCGTAATTGCCGTCGGGTGCTTCTATTCTTCTTATCTTTTGGATATTGATCGTTTAGAATGGAAGAATGGAGTATCGATGCTCCGAAAAGTGACCGGTATATACAATAATAACTAGAAAACTTATTTTACATATCACATATATATACACTTAGTAATGCAAATATAGGTCATATTACTTAATTAATATTAATATTATTATTATTCGATTGCTGTCGCACTTTTACACACGCATTCATACACCATATCTGTCGTTTCATTTTTTCGTGTCCTTTCATTTTTCGTGACAATTTTTTTCCACTCAGACCTCAAGAAAGAAGTTTTACATAAAAAAAAAATATTTTACCTGTGTAGGGATCGAACACGGTTACACAGATAAATAATCGACGTTTAAAAATGTTTAGAAATGTGATAATATCACTGCCCAACATTTTTAAACATTTTTATTGAAGCATAATAAATATGGCTCGGAAGTTGATGACCTTAAAAACATTAAAAGATGATCTAAAAAATATATATGCAAATATGATATAAAAATGGCTAAAAATTTCTTTAAAAAATAACCTAAAAAATTTAAAAATATTTGTTTTAAATAAATAATAATGCATTTTTTTAAATATTTTACTTTATTTTACTATAAAATTCTATATAAATATATCAAAACTTAATCAAAAGATGATATAATAATGACAACAAATATTCTTAAAATACGAAATAAAAAAATTACAAATATTTATTTTATACATTTATCAAAGCTTACAAATTACATAAATATCAAAATCATTGCATTGTACAATTAGAACATAGGTATTTGATGTTATCAAAAGTTAATGAAGGATGATTATTTGTTTATAAATATTTATATTTGGAAAAAAGTGGAGTCCACTGAAGTGATTGGAAAACGCAGACGAGCACTATCCGACATTTAATTGTTGCCATTTCGAAAATATTACGAAAAAATAATAAAATTTAGATATAATCATAGGCGGTACTAGACCCTCTTGGCAGGGGGGGGCAGGAAATACTTTAATTAAAATATTAACACTATTTTGTCTAAATCTTTGGACTAGCAATACTATAAAAAAAGTATTTTATTGATAACTATTTTAACTTATTTTAAATAAGATTTGTAAAATGTTATTAAATAAAAATTTTGTAAAATTAATAATACACTTACAAATAGCTAGATTTATATTATTTTATCTTATACAATTTTAAAATAATAACTTACCACAATTTACTTGTGATGGTTCTCATAGGCGTACCCAGAGTGACACATTTAAGTATGTCCTGTCATTTTTTGGTTTTTTTTTCAAAATATAAAGGGGAGGCTATAAACACGTACAAGTAGACCGTGTTATGATTTAAATTCTAAAAATAAAGGCTTCGTTAATGATTTAAAATAACGATTGGTAAAATATACACGTTAATATTATTTCAGACTTATTCTGAACACTTGTAATATTACTTATAAAAAACTAAAATTAAATTAATGTGTATGCACATATATTCTCAATTGTAATTATTCAATTTTTTTATTCGCATTATTTACATTAGGGTATGCCAAGGCACATTCGGCACACCTCGTAGAGCCACTTATAGTGAAGGTTCTTGTATGAAAAAGCCGTATAAAGTTTTTATTTTTTTACTACGGTTTGTGTTCATAATTTTAATTAAAATTAATATTATCCAAAAAACTCAAGAATTCTAAATAAAATACACACTTCAAATCAAAGTATAAAATCATACAAAACCTTTGTGATACAGATAATAATAAAGTAATAATATTGGTTCATGATTTGTCAATGATAAAAATAAATTATAATAATATTGAAAATGTTGACGCAAAAAATCTTATCAGCATATTTACATGAATGACTCCCACGGTTGTAGATAATAATATTATTACTTACAACCATGCAGACTATAAATAAGCATGTAATATGAGGGGTTACCAATCAATATTTGAAATCTATAGGGTGACTAAGAACTCACAGGGGGGGGGGGCAACCGCCTACTTTACCGTCTATGGATAGGTATTATTCACTATAACACAACGACGCGACGACTATAATCGACAAAATAAAATCGGATACTCATCGAATATTAGGAAAAAATAATAAAATAATATAAGTATAATAATATTCACTACAACACGACAATAACGAATGTAATCGGCGAAGTCTTAAGTTATCTTAAGGCATAATGTCGACATAAAACGATAGTATGAACAGTGTGAAATCATTAAAAATATGGGAAAATTATCTAAAAATGTCAAAAAATGACTTAAAAAGTAAGTATTTGTAAAATAAAAATTAGTTATTTGGATTCAAATGCTAATGAAACACATTTATGGCTAGGAGAGCATCGTCTAAAACGTTAGAAAAAAAAAAATGCAAAATGCATCATTTTCCAAGCCCTATTAATGAGTATTAATCACATAAGACATTAATATTATAATATGAAAATACTTACGTCTTCACGGTTCTCAAAAATAATCATTCTGTCTTTAAAAAAAGCAATGTTTCAACAATCGTTGCCGGTGAAAGTCCACATTTCCTTCCAGCCACTTTCCGTAAAATTAGTTAAAAACAGCAATTTTAAAAATGGTAAAATAAATAAAAGAAATCTTTGTGTGGGCTCGGCATCAGAAAACAAATGATAACATTAAATAAGAATGGATCAGTTTTTGAATAAAGATAAACAATAGTTGCTTATAAATAAAATTAAATTTATACCAATCTAAAAATATGACAAAACCACAAGATGAAGGATGATTCATAAATGCATATATTAATTTTCATTAGAAATATATTACAATAAAAACATTTAATATATTATTCTTTTTACAGTACATTGTCAAACTATTATTTATAAATAATCGAGTTAAGAAATTACTGATCATAAATAATATTATTTATCATGATAAACTATATTAATAGAATGCTTAAGTAAACTCATAAAACAACATTTTTTTCTATTTAATAGTTTTTACTACTTTTTGAACTTTCAAAATGAGAATTTCTCCTAATAATTAATTCAAGCAAATTGTGTACTATATATTTGCAAAAAAAAATTTTTTTAATATGTTAATTTTGACCAGAGAGAAGGGCTGGCGAAATATGTTATCGGCCCTCTTTATGGATTTTCGATTTTGAAGGGGAAGGAGTGTCATGCCGGAATTGGTCTTGCGAATTGCATAATTTTTTTTTTGATTTTTTACTGTGGGTGGGACTGGCAACATGGAAGTAACTACTACCTGTCAGTGATTGCTATTTTTGACTTCAAAATTCGTTCTTAAAAATGATACAAAGAACTTATGCTTAAACTATACACCTAAGCTTTTCTAATCACTTTATAAGTAGGAACAAATTAGCTTTTTTAATATTTTAAGTTAATTTTTCAACAAATTCGTTTTGAACTAAATAATTATATTTATGTTTCTTAATTTATAATATTTATTATACCTTAATCCTAATAAGTATTTAAGTTTATATTTTCAACATTCTATACTTTGATTTATTCCTTTAAATAAGCTTATTGTTAATGTATATAACAGATAGTTGAATAAAAATTAAGTTTTAAAAAATAGTTAAATTTATAACAATAGTGTAATCAAATATATATATATATATATATATATATATATATATATATATATATATATTAGTTGTATACACACTAATTCAAAAAATAAATAAATTGTATATTGTTTCTAAATATGTTATTAAAATAAGATTTTAAGATACAAATAAATAATTTATGATAATTCAATAGAATATTCTTATTAAGTTATAACCATTGATTCAGTTCTTCAGGAGATGCAGTGTTGTTCCATTCAAAAAATGGTTTTATGGCACGCATTGACAAGCCATAAAATATTCTAGGTACTAGTGATGAATTCTCACTAGCCTCATACTGCCAACCTAAATGACTTTGACAGCATGGACACAAAATTATAAGCCATTTGTACCTGTAAAAATATAGATAAACTGAGTAATAAAATATTAATGGATAATTAAAAATATGTTACCCGGGGAACCAGCAACATTCTGTTGATGCCCTTCCAATTACAATCACTGATAAATTGTTAGCTAAATCGGTAACTGTAATCATATCATGAATTTGTCCCCAAGAGTTACAGTATGTACCCTGTGGTCCTTCGGGAGACATTGGAAATACACTGCTCATATCACAAATTACAGCATTGCAATCATCACCATTACAAATAAATTTTTGCATGGCTTGCTAAATTAAAACAGTTGTGAGTTTATGCAAAGACTTAAAATTTTATTTCTTACATTATCATTCCAATAACTTATTTCATATTGAAGTCTTAGGTTTGTTGACTCAATACCCAACAAGAAGCTCACTTGTTTTGGTTGAAATATACCAAGTCTCAACACTTGGAATGATAATAAGCATGGATCATCTAAGACCTTGACATCTTTATCTTTAAAATAAAATAGAACACAAGTTATTAACAAATACTGCAATATATTTTATTCAGTTTTTTTAAATTAATTAGATAAAAAAAAAAAAAAAACTCAGAAATATCAGACATTTAATGTATATTTTAACAACACATAATCAGTGTCAGTTAAAATGTGACATGTTGTCGTTTTTTTGTTGTTGTTTTGAGATTTTTTTTAAATTTATGATTATGTTTAATAAGTAATGTGCAGATATGAATTATTTACATATTTTATAATTTCAATAAAATAAATGCATTTTAATAAAATATATAAAAATAAGAAGCGAGGAATAGTTAAATGGTTGTAACAGAATGTGAAATAATAAAAATAGACTTACATAAAATTTTGATTTTTTTGGTAAGAATTGATGCTAAATGATTCACATCAAACTGAGTATAAACCCAATCTGGCCATAGCGTTTGCCACATATCTTTTTTACGGCATCTATTGAAAATATAGTTTATATTATAGTAACATTGAAATTAGTTACTTAAAATAAATATTTTGTTACTTACGCATCATTATGTCTCAAATTACGGTTTTTTGGATGTAAACACAACTGTCGATATGGTCGAGTTAATGTAGTATCTGGTATAATTTTTATTTGAGCTAATGCAATGGACTGACCATTACTAAAACAAAATTAAAATTTTAAGTTACAGTTAAAACTAGTTTATTTAAAATGGATATATAATAATAAATGATGTTTAGAGCATTTTATTGAGAGGCGATCATGATATGATCTATTGCATAATATTATTGATAAGAATAAGATTGCAATAATATATGCTTTTGATTGATTTGAAAAACCAGCTGGTTTACAATAAGTCGTAGTCTAAAATTCTTCATACAAACATAATCATATTACAATTAATTATGACAGAAGTAATCTTGTTCAATAAAAATAATTGAAAATTATGTATGAATGGTTTCAGCATAAGCTAAAATCAAAAATGTATTGGAATTGTGCAAAAATGATTTATTTAATAGTTAAGAAGTTTTAAAAACTAATATGGACTATTCACAACCAGACAACTAGAACTAGTGAAAACCATAGTCAACTAGCACAGGAGTCTTCAACCCACCCTGTCATAATATGCGGCCCGCAATCACATTTTAAATTTTTTCACATTAAAAATAAAATAAAAAATTTGTAATTAAAAAAAAAAATGTTTATTAATTTATGTTTTAATAATAATAATAATTTGTAATTTTAAATGTATCCAATTAATTTTAAAAATTGTAAGAATAAAACTGAACTTTTATATAAAATACATGTATTTACTACAAATGCCTGCAAGGTTTAAAAAAATTAATATGTGGCCTATTGCATAAAAAGGTTGAAGACCCCTGAACTAGCAGACTATTTTGAAGTTGATGTGACAAAATATTTAAAGTAAGACAGTAAGTAAAAGCTTTAAAGTAAGACAACATTTTTAAACATATTATTATTTATTAGAATATAGACAAGCTATTCAATATTTTTTTTTTGCTGGAAATTTTTGTGTTTTATATGTAAATGTATAATTTTTTTAAGTAAAAAAAATTAAAGAATTAAAATATTTATACATTCAAAATTTAACTCTTTTGGGCAAATATTAAAAATAATGAAACAAATCCAAGCAATTACTTTGCGGAAGTTAAATGTTCATTAAATGTAAATATAATATCAAGAATGCCAAGTGAGGAATTGGTCAAAAGGACATTTATAGTACTTGGACATTTTTGTATATGAACATTTTTACCTAGACTTGTGTAAAGCATACGCATTATATTAGATGAATAAAAAAAAATGAAAAATAATACGGCATATTTTTATTAATAAATAATAAGGTTTTTAAAACATGATTATAAGTTACCTCTCAGGAAATGGTGTTATGTTTAAAATTTTATACCGTTGGTGACCCATAGCCTTGACTTGAAAAGATTGAGAATTTTCTATATCTATGGATTGTTCATAAACCTCAGCAATTGTTCCAAATGTTTGTTTTCCTTTTTTGTTTCTAAAAATAATAATTTTACATTATAATTTATTAAAAAAAAACTAATTAAAGATTGTTATTTACAATTTATATGAGACTCCGAATGCACGGTTTGTGGACAAAGCGTATTTCAATAACAATTTGACATCTATAGTGCGAGCAATGATTGGAAGAGTCTGACCTGGCATCAAATTTAGCCTCAAAAATATAACTGGTAATGTGTGAGTAATATTTTCTTCAAACACTGTGCGACCAGTAGTTTCACAAAGTCCATCTCCTAAATACTAAATATTATGATAAAAATTATTGATACATTAACTTATTATTTATTTAAGTTTAATTTAGTTACTACTACTGTTAATCTAATAAAAATAATTTTATACTATATTATAATACACAATATTTGTTTAAAATACAGCTTTTTAAAATAATCTTAATGTAATAAAATTAATTTCATGATTATATATTTTAAATATTTAAAATATAACAAAATATTTAATATTTAAAAACATATATTTTTAGTGTTTATAGTATCATACAGTTTTCATATGTTTAAGATTATTTTTACAAACTTAAACAAAATATTGTGTATTAGTGAATAAATGAAAATTAAAATTTACCTTATGGGCTGGAGTTAAATTTTGGTCATAGTGTGTTACACCATCTACTATTGGCGCTTAATAAAAATAAAAATAATTTAAATTAAATAGACGTTATAAAATTTTTTTCATATTTGCTGTATTATACATAAAACGAATACATACGCACAACACGTCCATTACTTTGATATGAATGTTCTGAAATAAATTGAAATTCAAAGTCTGATACGTCACTTAGGTTGCTGTAAAAATTAATAAATCACTGTTAGGTTGATGTTGGTAATTAAAAAAAATTAATTTTGGAATATTTGAGTAGTTTTAAAGCAAATATTTTAATTGGGTAATAAAATATAATTTATTTATTCATTATACAATTTATTTCTTACAAACACTTTTTTTTTAACAGAGCTTAATGTTAAATATTATTAAACAATATTAAATTACATTCATTAGCTTAAAATTTAAAAATCCCTACTAACTTTTATAGTCACCAACTAAATGATTTTGAAAATGATGGATATCGAACAGTTACATTTATACTATTAATATGATATTAAAACAGAAAATGTGTTATTAAATATCACCATTGATGAAATCTATGAAAATATTCAATGAAGTTTAATGAGATGAGAGTAATTTTATAGCAATGAACATAAGAAAATAAAGCCAGGATCCTATCAACCGATTCTAGACAATAGTTAGTGCTTAAACATCTGACCTATCAGTGGCGCTGAATGAAATTAAAACGGCAAGTTCAAATAATTAGATTTACCCATCTACCTGTTTCAATTTATTACTCATTCAAATACTAGAACATTATTTTTTAAACATCTTTAAAAATTAAAGATGTTATATAATATTTAATTATTAAATATACTATTTTAAACAGAAAATATTTGTCAAGTAATATATACAAAAGTTAATTAAAATTTTTTAATGATAATTTATATTTTTTTAACATTCAAATTTACTAGATAATTCAATTGAACTCCCTGGAGTACATGTTTAACACAACTGTGACCTATTCTAAAGATACTTTATTATTAGTACATTGTACAGTCAGTCCATAAAAAATGGAATCAATGACTTGAATCAAGTTACGTTGTTCTAACTAACCTAACCAAGTCACAATCTCAAGGTTAAGGATCCCTTAATGGTTTTCATCAAATTTTACAGGTAAAATGTTGTTGAATAAAGATAGAATATTTCAAACAGTTATTATTTCTGTTAATAGAAATGTTTGTGTTAGTTCAGTATAATAACAAGTAACAAAAACAATCAATTTGTCAGTATATACTAACTATTTGGTAAGGTGCATCAATTTGATATTTAAATACTGTTTCTTTAAAAAAAAAATTTCAAAGGAACCCACGGTAAGAATAAAACAATTCAATTAAAGTTTCATTGTTTGGTATTACATGATTAGCAGAGTCAAACGATGTGTTGAAAAACGTATCGTATGGTATGAATGTGACGAAATAAATTTAAATGAGCGCGACCAAATAAAATCAACATAGTAATTTCAACCAACTGCATTTTTAATGTTTTTATGCTTACTCAGAGATGTCAGAAGAGCTATCCATGTTAACCGGCGATAGTCTTGAACCGATTAATGGGTTATAGCTGCAATATTGTGACTGAACGCCAAAGAATTGTTGGCGAGTAGCAACGGTACGCAATTCAAAAGGGCGGAACCGATTATTTGTTCCGAAGTTCCGACACGTCAATATCTTCGCAGTTGTCGTAATAGTTGTATCGTAGTCGTATTTAAAAAACAATTAATTACGAATAATGTTTAAGAGACTTGCGCAGTTCACGGAGAACAGATGAATAGACACAGTCTCCTTTATCTGTAGTTACCAATGTCGGTAGACTGGTAACTATTTTGTGTTATCATCTATGGGTTTAGTACATACATATTACATTGAACGTTGTCATATTCCAACGGCATGCTAGGGGATCGTACATAACCATGGTCGCTGTCGTTCATTGGGACCAGGATTTACAATGATCTGGATTTACCAGGGTCTTATTTTATAATAGTTAAGGTTCAATCAAATATACTTGTCGTGTCCTTTGAAGCGGGCGCATTTTCCAAATAAAAAGTTTACCGCGTAATACAATACTCGATAGTAAGATTTTTGATTTTTTCTTATTACGTATCAAATTGGTGGTCATTATTACCGGTGGTCCGTGTTGTCTTGAAATATTACTTGAAGTCGTCTAGTGACGGTAACATCGGATAAATTATTAAATTACAACAATCAGTATTCGCTTGTAGTAATTTTCAAGTTCTCTTGATCGCTTAAACTCATATAACGATTTACCGTTCACCTACACAAGATAATAAATTATCTTACAATTATTGTACAATATTTTCGATCGGTACGTTTCGACATACCATTCCGAAATGGGTATCTGTTACGATTAAAGATAGTACTATCATTGATTATAAATACTATATGTAATATATAGTATTTATAATCAATGGTATTATCTATAATCGTGGTTTCTGTAAATAAAATCGTTTTCTCATATGATAAACGATTATGTACTTTTCACACTGTGTACACAATTTTAATTTAAGTTTATTTTAATGAGGTTTTTATTTTTAAAATAGGCTTTGGCATATTTTTCAAATTATATAGATTTTGGATGATTTCATTCGAATATTTTTCATCAAGGAATTTGGTCTTATCGAAGACATTTCGAATAAAATATTCGTAATTAAAATATAGTCAACTATCGAAAGTTATTCCGTACATTAGCACAACTATTCGATTATTATCTAAAATCCAAGTCATAAATGAGTCATAAACAATAAACCACCTTGTACAAAGTTGTTTAAAAAATAAGCTGGTTTCCATAACTTCTACAATGTTCATAGACTACATTTTAATTTATGAGTCAAGAATGGTCTGAAGTTTTGCGACGACGTGCTAATATGTAATATGGCGTTTGTCGCGTTTTGTTGTTTATAGCCTCGTATGTTGTAATATGTACCTTCCTAAGTAGTATTGTAGGTAGTTCGGCGGTATATTTTTATTATGGTTCGGCGTTGTTTCCATCGAGGTGATAATTTTAAATCGTCAGTGATTGAATAACCGTTTATCTATTTGATAACAACATGTCGATACGGAAATCGGTCAACTTGGTGTAATGACGATCGTTTTAAAGAAAATCGTTGTCGTTTCGTATGTTGTTTTGTATTGTAGTCGTTGATTGGACATGATTTTCGGAAAATGCGGATATATGAAGCTGTGCGCTACAATAATTGCCGTGACGACGGGTGTTTTCGTATCGGTAGTGTCCGTTTTACAATTTAGTCATTTTCTCTCCGGTGTCCACTATTATCCGTCCGACAACTTACCATCAGATATCCGTAAGTATAATTTTATATAGCTATCGGAAAATGCTAAGTAGTATTACGGTGTAACTACTATATTTGAGTTTTTCAAATTTTTATGCTGACATTTTCGAAAAAATTAATGAAATAAAAATATGTTTTAATAACTTTAAAATGTGTGTTTTTGTGTGTGGTATATTAGTAAAAGTTGTTTGATAGTTTCAACAGTTGAAAGGTTTTAATTGCATCGGTTGAGTACATGGGCCGTCAAGGCCGAATCTAGAAATTTTTTTTGGGAGGGGTCCAAAACGTGTGTATTATAATTTTATTGAATTTAGATTTTAACTTTCGATATTTGGTTAAAAATAAGACAGAAAAAAATTTAATCTTCTTTTATTAAAATTAATACCATATTTTCATATGATATTATATTATAAAACTAAAAGCAGTCAATGGTTAATTGGAGCCTCGATTGGAGCTTAAGTCATTTTTGACTGAAAATATTTATGTTGGTATTAAAAAAAAATATTATTTTAAACATTCGTAAAATATCGAAGAAATTTCGGGGGGGGGCAGACACCTTGGACCCTCCCTAGATACCGCCTTGTGGGCCGCAGTAGTTGGTAGTTGGATTAATAATAATTTATGTAAACTTATTATTTCATAAATATTTTTATACATATTACATAAGTACCTAATATGTATTAGGTATGTGATATTGATTATAGAATAAAACCTATTCTATAATGAATGTTAATATGTATACGAATACACCGATCCTCGTTACCTTTTTGCTTTGCACAGAGATTCTAAATCTAAATTTTTCATTTAGTGTCAATTGATAGAGTATACGGAAAATACGTATTAATTTGGGGTATATTTATGTTTATAATACAGTCTTGCGATTATTTTGTTGTCAGCATATTTATTTAGGCATATTGATATGAATTATAGTCATAAATAGTATAAAATTAACTTTAATTATCAATATTTAACTAAATGTATTACACTATAGATATTGGACTTCATGTTACAGAAGTTAAACTAGTTAAATAAGTTCAGTTAAATATTGATAGTTAAAGTTAACTTTGTACTATTTATAACTATAATCCATATCAAAATGGCTAAATAAATATACTGACAACGAAGTAGTCGCAAGAATGTTTTATAAATAAGGCTAAGGACTTTATACTATTAAAAACCGTAAAATATGTATGCATTTATGCCCTAAAGAATCAATAAATATGCTATTAAAATATACATTTAAAAATATTATATTTGTAATAATTAATTAAATTAAAAAATGTAATTAGTAATAAATAATAATAATATTTTTCTATATGATAGATATGATGACCTGAAATACTTACTTACTTCTTTTCAAATTTGTTTTCATTTGATATTGAGTTTTTATCTAAAATAAAATATTTTAAATGGTTTTAAAAATAAATTAAATCGAAAACACATTTTCTATTTTTTATATATTTATAATTACATTGGATTATAAGATATTTTCTTAAGTTGGGAAATTTAAATGACTGCATGTTATAAGCCAAAATATTTTTATATTTAGAAAAGGAATGTTATATGTCTACGGAATTTATAGGTGCAAACTTAAAAAATGGTAAGTCACTACTACTAATATCTACAGGCAATCCATCCATAGATTTATTTTTTCCATTTAAAATTTCGATATTTTTTGTAGTTGATCAAATCCAATCTTTTTCTCTAAAACTTTTTTAATTTTGTCATAATTTGCCTTAGCTTGTGCAGATCTTTCAATTTTTGAAGAATGTATATGTTTTTTTGTAGTTTTAATTATTTTAATGCATTCAGTTAGTGCACCAATAAAACACCTTGAGTTCCTAGTTGAGCGATATATGAAGAAATAAATTCATAATTTTTTTTAAAAAATTTATAAACTTACTCCTTCGTATAAATAATTGTCAAATATGCACTTATAAAATGAAAAATTGTCAAATATGTACTTATAAATGAAAAATGGTCAAATATGCAAAATATGAAACTATAAATTTTAAATATAAACTTGTATTGCTATGAAACAAATTTATATATTTCCTAGCTATGTTTTTGATGATTATTTAAAAACATGCAAATTCCTAAAAGTTCCGAGCCCTAATTATAAACATACCTATGGAAAATTCTATTATACTGTACTTCATGTTTTCCTAATTTTCTTATTATGTGTTCAAACATTTTCGTGTGATTTTATAAATTATTTTCGTAGTTTATTATTATATTCATAATTATTTAATAATTCTTGTTTATTAAAATAAGAATTTTTTTGGGGTGTGACCATACAATAGATTACATTTACTCTGTGGTGTAACTATCTGTATGGCAAAAATCAATTTTGAATAATTATTTAATTTTAAAGTTTTAAATTGATACATAATATACAGCAAGTATATCGTTTATATGTTTTTGAGGGGAGGATAGGGGGAAATGTACATTCGATTACGTCGTAAGGTATTCGAGTGTAGCATCTCATCCGAACATAAAAATACACATTTTCTTCTTAAATATTCTTTTTGAAGTTTACTGATTTATCTTATAATTTAGCTTACAATATAGAAGTTGTAAGTGTGAATTTGTTGAATGCTTGTATCTGCATTTGATTCATGGTATCGTCCAACGGCCGTTCCGCCAGATTGTTGACCATTGATTTTTTGACATATTTTGTTAAATTTAAATTTAAATTTGGATTTATCATTATGCTTTTATTTTTTTACTAGTTACATAATACACATTTTATTAGAAAATATATTGTAAACAATGCGGTTCTTATTAGAGAATTAAAAAAGTAGTTTCTAGAAATCTTATTTAGGTGTCGGTAGAGTTTCTAACTTTCAAATGTTTTAATGTAGGACAATTAATATCATAGCCATTTTATACCATAGTTTCAATGACGTAGTCAAGATTTTGGTATTATGATGAAGAGGAAAAAGCAAAGCCAAAAAAAAAAAGGGTGTAAAATTAAAAAAAATTAAATAAAAATACCACCACTATGAAAATTTATTTATATTGATTATGTGAATAAACAATATGGCAAACGAAGGTTTAACCGGTGGTCCATGGCCTCATGGCTACGCCACTGCATAGTTCACTGGTTCCCAAACCGGGAGGTGCGCCCCCCTGGGGGCGTGTACACATTGCTGGGAGGCACATGCAGTTATTACGAAATACAATTTTTATTGATTAAATTATTTTTATTGTAAAACTCAGAAAAAAAAAATTAATTGATAGGTTTTCTATATCCGTTATTGGGTATTAGTAACGGATAAAGACTATAAGTACCTAACAGATTTTTTCGAGTCTATTAATAACTTAAATCTTAAATTACAAGGGAGGAATACCAACGTCATAATCACCAATGATTCTATTAATGCATTTCTAGAAAAAATACAGTTTTAGAAATGCAGAGTAAACAAAGAGACTCCTAATTTTTCGTCTTTCCGTCGACTGAACGAACTTCTCCCTAATCAAGAAGAACCATTTTGTCCTGCTGGGTTGAAAGATATAGTGATTAAACATCTCGACAGTTTGACTGATGAACTTACTCGATATTTTCCAAATTTTTCGAACGAAAGTTGGCAATATATGTTAACAAGTTCTACATTCAGTACTAACGTAGACATATTTCTAGATATAATTCAAGAACAGGCAATCGAGCTGAAGAACGTTTCATGCACGAAAATTGATTTTAACTGTAGCTCTTTGGAAGAGTTTTGGGTAATACTCCAACCTATTATCCTGAAATTTCAAATGAAGCTTCAAAAGTCCTTGTAAAATTTTCACCTACTTATTTATGTGAGTTTGGATTCTCCAGCATGGCAGTTATAAAAAACAAACATAGAAATCGTTTAGATGTCGCATCTGACTTTAGGTGTTCTCTATAAAATACTGAGCCAAACATAAAAAAATTGTCCAAAGAAAAGTATTGTCAGCATCAACAATAATTATTAATATCATTATGTATTTTTATTTGTATATTTATTTACTATTATTAATATTTCTTACTAATTTATTATTATAATATTTCACCTTACATTTTATTATTTACTATTATTTATATTTTATATATAAGTAACCATTTCACGAGTCATTTCAGTTTTAAAATAGGGCTACCAAATTTTTTACCAGACCAAATTTTTCTACCATCAGGCCACTTTTAAAACAATGAAAATTTAAATGTAGGAAATGGAGTTCTTTTTTACCTAACTATTAGGGATGAAAAATAAATCTGGAAAATGAAAATAGCAGATAGCAAAAGAAACGGCAAAATTAAAATAGAACCCTATGCTCCCAATATAACTTGTACTTCTTTTAGATTACAGTAGTTATTAGCAAGCAAATTTTTTTGTATTTAATATTTTGTTATGTAATCTAGATTACAGTGTCATCTTTAAGTCCAATTCAAACATTAATTAATTCAATTTAATTTTGATACATCGGGCATCGGTGCCAGCATGAAATTAAGTTAGGCCGATTATGATACGGGGAAAAATAGGGTTGCTAATATATGTTCTGCGATACCCCAATGATGCCCCTGTATAGTATAGTTGGTGTCACTGCATTTTCGAAAAATTTACATTTTAGCTACTAACAGCAATTAACTAATAAGATTATCATGAAAATTTTTGTGGTATAGGGCAGACAATAATTTTTGACTGTATATTACTATAAATTAGTTTTAATAAAATTTTACTCAGTGGTAATAGAGCGAGTATTGTGAAAAGTAACATTAAACATATATCATTAATTATAAATCAACTATCGAAGTACAAGATTATGGTAGGTATTCAAAATCTCTTAAAATATTACGTTAGATTATAAACGGTTTTCTAATTAACTAAAAATTATTCAATTAAATAAATTCATTATTATTATTATTTTCTAAAAATTTATTAATTTTATTATAAGTTATTAATAGATTTTAAAATGTTTGTTATTCCGTAAAGTGTATGAAATAATATTCATTTTATAACGAAAAGAACCATAGATGGCTTTTAGTTGGTTATACTCGTATGTTAAATTGTTATAATTCATAAAATAGCCATTACATTTATTTTTTGGTTATTTATATTTATTAATTATTTTAATTATTATTAATAAATGTAGGTACATATTATATAATGCTTTAAGTGTGTGATTGATTTGAAATTCTGTGGTAAAGTTTATTTGTGTTACTATTTCATGTATATTTTATTGAGAGAACTCTAAAAATCTTTAATACAGTGAAAATACTTATTATCAGGGTTCGGGATTTCAACCATTTGCTTATTTTTTTGATTTAATATGAAATCTAGCAGTGCTATGAAAACTTTCATGTTTTTATGATCTTTAATATAAAACAAGTCTTTTTTTGTTTTTAGCTTTTTCCTAGTTTTTTATTATTTTATGTATATATTTTAATATATATTATTTTTGCATATCTTTGCTTAATTATAACATGGGCCTCTGACGATAATCTAGAATTTGTTTATTTCAGATCTTCTATCTTGGGAGAGAGGGTATGTGGTATGTTATAGTAGTAAATAATTTGTAAATAAATATATATCTCCAGGAGGAGGAGTTTATATATTTTTTCGGAATGGTAATAACCTTCTGGTCACCCCCTTGAAAAAAAACACTGATACCACCATACGATCACAGAATAGTTTTTTGATTTTTATTAAAAAATAAATATCATAAATAATTTGAATGACGTAGAAGTGTTTTTTCTAGTTTATGCAATGTATAAAATTCATATAAAAAAAAAAAAAAAGATAAAATACTAAGCGTCGTTGGTGGATATATCCACATAACACAAAAATACACAAATATACCGCGTGAAAGATAGTTAGAAACATTTAAGGATAGTTGACAGTGAAGATGAGAGTGAGTTACTCAATTTCAGTGAATTTCCCGATAACTACTCCAGCGAAAATATCGTATATACTTTAAATCACATCTGTAGACATTAATAATCCCTATTTTTCAGCTTATAAAAGAATATTTTCAAATAATAGAAAGACTTTTGCTTTTGAAAACTTGAAATTTTATTATTTATTGCAATCTCTTATGTTAAAACGAATTATTTTTTCTATAGTTATAATTAAAAAGTTTGAAATTTATTTTTCAAAATACCCATTTGAAGTATATTGTAGAAAACGGCCGGTAAAACTGGTCCAAATCCAATCTGCGGACAGTAGACAACTGGACTGTTAAAAATAATATTTATAACTATTACATCAATTTCATTTTTCAATTTTTCAAATAATTTTTACAATAACAAATAAAAATTAACATAATATTTTATTCAAAAAAATTGTGTTTATTGTCTTTGTTGGGTTATTTTTAAGTGCTTTTTTTGAATGTGTATAATGAAGAATTTAGTCGCTTTTTTTGATGATTATAAATGCTATAAGTCCCAAATCCTGATTATAATGTATTATTTATAATAATAATTATAATAAAAAAATTAAATTTAATCACATTTTCTTGGTCTTGTATCTTTTTAATATTTACTCGATATATTATAGTCGAAATTGCATAAGTTTGAACAATATTTCAGACAATATTAGTTTATTTATTTTTACAACATTATTATTTCAAATTTACATAAAATCCATGTAAATATTTTATTAATCAAATAATGTGAATCGCTAACGATATCAATAAAATTTAAGAATTTTATTTAAATATTCAGTATTAAGTTATTATTAAGTTCTTTGTAGAACTTAAAAGTGTTTGTTAAATATTAAATAAAACATATTAATACAAAGCAGTATAAATAATGTTTTATATTATAATATTTGAATTTTTATGTATTTACGTATCTGCGAATAAATAAATCATTGAACGACTTAAATAATTTTTGTAAGTTTATGAAAAACAGTTTAAACTTAAGTATACAGTTACACAGTTATACTACAGTATACAGTTTTATATCTTATCTAAATATTTTATGTATACGTAACTAATTTTAAATGCATTTAAATGTCTACTATTTATTTAATTAATGTGTTTTTTAAATAAAGCTATGTCTTATATAAATACCTAATAGTTCAATATTTCAATATTTAAATAATGCTTTACATTAAATTGCGATTTTTAATTAGATTTCATAAAGGGTTTGATATAAATATTAGGTTACTTATTAGTAAAGAACGGATTTTAATTTAGTACAACATTAAAAATATTTAAATATATATTTGTTTATTACTTCATAAATATTTATTTATAATATTGTAATACTTAAATTAAAATAACACAGAATTCACTATAATTTATAAACAATACATAATACAAATTCGGACTATTTTCAGACCTAACTAGTGTAGTACCTAAAATAATTCGGGACCCTACTAGTGTAGTAATTTTAAATTCGGGACCCACTTTGATGCAGCCTATAAATTAAAAATTTTTATTGTGAATCATCCAAATAGTCTTCGTGAGATAAAGAGTTAGAAATTACATATAATTTGAGATTTTCAAATTTAAAATTATGGCGATTTGATTTATTAAATTTATTGCTTTATAACGGCTAAATGACCTCTCCACATTAACAGAAGTGATAGGTGTATATTTCACACACGTTAATTATTTTGGATTGTATTATATTTCTAAATTGTGTTTTGGAGTTTTGTTTAGTAGTATAACCCTTATCGACATTACAGTGTTAAATCCTGGGTTTTTTCTCAATATATTTTGTAATTTTGAATTGGTTAAAACTCTAATTTATTCAGGAACACGTTTCAATTGCTTTATAGCTTTATCAACTATTTCTAGGTTCTAAGTTAATGCCATTTTAGAAGTTTCTTATTTTGAAATGGTATCAACTAAAATCCAAAATTAGTAGAAATAAATGCTACATTTTTTGCAAGTTTTTACATTTCATGAGAGTATTATTATTGTAATTGCAGCATCGGTTTCTAAATTTAAAACGTTTTTAATTTTTTTAAAGTTATTTGAATAATTGAAAACAACTGATAGCCACGTACTCCACTGAGTTATAATAGGCTCGGGAAATAGGGTTTAATTTGGATACATATATTTAAGTGTTTGTATACGACGGTGCTTTTAAAAATAATTTTTTTTTCGTATCTTTCCGTCCATCGTAAAATAGTAAAACAAAAACGGAAATTCTACAATAATACAGATTACGTATATTAATTTCTAAAATATTTAATTATTATTTATTTATTTGTAAAATATTTAAAATAAAATTAGCATCAGCTTATTCACAATTAAATGATATGTACATATATGTCAAAAACTTTTCAATGTTAAAACTACATAAAAATATTAATTTAAATAAAAATCCGTTCTCTACTTATTATATATAGTTTTAATTGATGTGTTGAACAATTATCTAAAATAATATACATTTTTGCATGATTTATATTTAGTCAAATAACAAAAAAAACAAAATTGTATTTATATATATAAATTATTATTTTAGGTATATATTATAGAATAATTGTGAACTGGTCACTGGCATCTTGTTATTTGTATTTGCCATCGCTAATTGAGTGTATCGTTCAAAAAATTGGGAACTTATGTGGATTGCCTGATTGTTATTTCAAGTTTATCAAAAATGTTCTACTTTTATCTGCTTTAAATGTAATAGTATATTACTATACATATAATGCTATTTTAAATATATTACATTTAATATTAAATAATTTTATTTTGAAGGCTATTATTGCCTATTGGCAGAATGTTCCTGAGATATGTTTATGGAATATAAACATTCGTTATGCTGAAAGTATTCACTTTTATTTGCATTTTTCTTTGTGGATAATATCATTTCTGATCATGGTAGCAATTGATATTACAGAAATAATGGGAATTAAATCGGTAAAGTAAAATATTTGGTTTGAGATTATAATCTGGTATAATTTAAAGTACCTATAAATTTTATACCTATACTTAACCTAACCTATACCTAACCTAACCTATACCTATACCTATAAATTATAACTATACGTAATTATAGAGATATCTGTTTATGTTTATTGTTATTTTGATGAAAAAAATTCATAAATATGTTAATATTTAAAACTTATACTCTATTAACTCAACAATGTAATAACAGTTAATTTATCCAAAAAAAAAAAATGATTCGAAATGTGAAGATTTATTTAACCTTTTTAGATTTCACTTATAAATTTGACAGATGAGAACTTTAATATTATTTATTCAAATAGTAATAATAAATAATAAATAAAATTATAAATATTTGTTACTAAAATACTTTTAAAGTTGGTCGTGTACGTTACCGTATAATACTAAACAAAATAATTGTTTTCAACTATTTATAATTGTCTAACGCTCTAAAAATACTATAAAGATGGTTAATACGAGAATAGTCACAAAAAGTTGTTCTTTATTAAGTAAATAATTTTTTTAACTTTTCATTAAGTTTTTGATATTTTACGTGTACTTAATAATTGTAATTGTGAGTATTGATCGCTCATATTATTGTATTTTGTTATGTTTTTGCTTATTAATTGTTATTAAATACAAAAAATACTCTTTGTTATGATAATATGATTTATATATACCTAATTCAAGTACCACGCATTCACTCATTGATTGGCTCATAGTAGTGCTTGACTTGTGAGGGGAAGCAGGGGGGACGGAGTACCTGGACTAATTTTTCGAAATGTTAGCGTCTCCCTATTATTATTACATTATAATTATAACGCTTAAAAAGTCTTGGAGATGCTATTTTTTTTAAAGTAAACAGAGTCCTCCTTCTTTAATTTTGTTTAGTCAAGCACGGGTTCATAGTTAAAATTACCATACTTATTCTTTGAAATGTTGAGTGAATGTATTTATTATTATTTATAGATAAACTAAGAATTTTTCGAAAATCGCATACAAGGGTAAAAATAGTTTTAGAATCTGAGCTTGATGTATACGTTTATTCATTTTTTGGTTTATTCTAAAAAATATTTTATTTTGTTGAGTATATTGATTTCAGTAATTAACGATCGTGTGTGTACATGTATATGTAAATTAATATAGTGTAAACTATAACATTTTATAATATATATAATTTCATAATATAAAACTATAATTTTATTTTTATTTTTTTTTTTACATCAAAATAGTAAATAAATAAAATAGTAAAATATCTCCTGGGTGAAGACGGGTAATTTAGCTAGTATATTAGAAAATAAAAGTATAACTTACAGAGAATAATACAGATCTGAAATACAGATTGCCTGGATAAGTGCTTGTATTTTTTGGTCTTATTGAATTTCGAGCTCATTTAATAACTAAAAATAATTTAATTATTTAAAAAATGTAATTTTTGTGCATTATATTTTTTAATGTAGTACAACATTTTATTCGTGTAAAAGGGTTAACGCATTAGTATATATTACAGTAATTTAGTGTTAGGCTAAATGTTATTGAAGTGTTCATTTATGTGTAGGTGTACTTGATTTTACCTAAAATTAAAATTCAAGTAATTCCCTACACTTTACATAATTGGTAGGGTTTTGTACGGTATAATTATAATTGCATTTTTAGAACTTGCACGTAATGCGTTCGGATAAAATATAATTATTTAAGTTTTGGGGGATAGGTACCAATTAACATAATTGTAGGCAGTATAAACTTTGTTTCTCTTAGAATGGATTTAACTTAAGACGGTAAAGATAATTGGTAGCAATATACAAGAAAACACGTAATTTGATATCGTTTAAAATAAAAATAAACAGAAAATTACCTAAGTCTGTTTAATTTGGCTATTCGATACTTATTAAATAAATCATTTTTTGTATACATCTAAGAGAGTTTATTGGACTGAGAAAATAAGATTTTAAAATTTTAAATTTAAAAAAGATTTACAAACTCAAATAAATAATTAAAATTTATAATTTAATGCTCATTAAATTTTAAGTATAAATAAATACATAACACAAAAAAAACATAAATTAAATATATGTTTATTTGATCGAATTCAGTAAAAAACGTAAATATGAAACAGCTGTATACGAGTAATATTGATTAGAAATGTCATACTCATTTTCAGTGGGCACAGGCTAATATCCTATCCATTGAATAAATATTTATTTAATATTAAGTATATTTAATCAATGCCTATTGGAAAGTGCGGGATAGATTTTCTCTAAGTTAATTAAATATATAGATAGTCAAACATAATTTGTAAAAAATGATTCTGGCATTTGAGAAAAAAAAAATTAAAATTCTTATACATAAAGTTTCAAAGCTATTTTTATTCAAATGTATAACTTGGTAATGTTTATTTAACATTTTAAATCAAATTATCAATTTATTTTTAAAGTAACATTTATTGATTAAGTTCTTATAATACATTGAATTACGGTGGTATACTCGTATTTTCGTGTTTTATGATACTGAGAAAAATGTAGTATTATGAAAATTGTTTTTATATTAACTTATGCAATTTATGTATATTTAACTACCATATATTTATAAATAAATAACCAAAATTAAAATGAGCTTATTATATAAATTTACAAAATTTGTATCATTTTTGTCTTTTTTTATGATTTTATTAAATGTAATTAAGTATAAATTTAGCTTAAAATGAATGATGTAGTTAGTTGTAGCATACATTTAAATAGTGAACATAAATAATAATCATGTTATCGGCCTAACAGTCACAGTGTGCAGTCGCATTTTCGGTCTTTTGCTATCGCAGTGTACTTTGTATCTATAGATTGTATAGCCGTTTTTATTATGTCGTCGTCTTCGGGCGGCGATTCAAGTTTAGGTAAATCACCTGCTCCTACAAAAGTTAAAACTCACGTAACCTCTCACCGTGGTCCAGATTCAAACTGGCAGGCGGCTATTAGTAAGAAAAATGTACGTAGGTTGAATAATTCGAATAATAATACGTCTAGTCCTACTTCTCCGGATTCTTAACAGATTATTAACAACACTCCATTATTAACTACATCGAATTCAGCCTTCAATCATGATAAATCTTTACCCGTAATTTCTACGCCGTCAGATATGGTTGTTGACGATCTTACGGTCATCGATAATACTAATGAGCCAATTTATTCTAATATATCGGTTTCTATGTCTACTCCGACCGGCTCTAATGTCATTAAAAATCCATTACGACACAATCTACAATCTTTTCCGTCCGATTATATTGGCCCTATCTTTATTCTTGTCGAGAGTAACTAACTAACCTACGGAAAAAAATCTGGGTAAATGGCACCCGGTAGGAGCGGCCAAATTTTTTTCAACTAATTTCAAGGTCATCACCAATATTAAACCCGCTGGTTTCAAAAAGTCAAGATTACTTTCAACTCCATCGAAAATGGTAACTTATGTTTGAACTCCGTTTTCCTAACGGATTATGGTTACAGTGCCAGTATCTCTTCGAACCTCATTTATTTTTTTTGGTATTATAAAACTGGATACTGACTTTTCCGAAGCTGATTTCCATGAAGGCTTATCTTCGCCCTTTCCAATTGAAAACTTCAGACGTATTTCAGCCAACAAGGATGGTAGTATTACTCCCACTCGCATGGTTGAATTGAAATTTATCTCTCACAGACTGCCTCAACATATTACTGTATTCAACATGATTTTTGAAGTCTCCCCGAGTGTCCGTTCTCCAGTTCAGTGCAATCGTTGTCTCCGTTTTATTCATACGAAAAAATTTTGTTTTAAATATTTTAGCAGATGCTCTTATAAACTCTTCCACGCTGTCTTCGCCTTTTTCCCCATCCGCTCTACAATCCTTAATTGAATCTTCCTTATACTCTCTCCTTATCGTTCTTCTCACGAACGATTGTTAGTTCTCTCCCAATGTCTAACTCCTATAGCTCTATCAATTTGACCAATCCTATTAATATCCTTCAATGGAATATTAGAAGCTTAATTGTCCGTCTTCCCCCCTTACATAATGAACTTTCCAACAGTAAATGTTCTATAGCCCTCCTTTCGGAAACCTGGCTATTACCCGTTCGCTCAATTAAAATTCCTAATTATGCTAGTTACAGATCAGATCGCTAAGATGGTTATGGCGGTGCCGCTATTTTAATTCACAACTTCCTTAGGTCAAGGCCAGTTCCTATTGTTGAGACTATCCGTAATAGTTTTCTAAATTTAAAATAGATATCGTCGGCGCTGAGGTTTTCCTTCCGAACTCATCCTCATTCTTTACTACATAGTCTTGTTATATCCCAAGTAATTCAAATATCTCTGCTGCAGTTTGGGATTCGCTTTTTGGTCCCGTCTGGCGCAATTCTTTTCTGTGTGGCGACTTCGATGCTTTCCATCCCGCTTGGGGCTCGAATTCGTTATCACATCGCGGTAATCTCATTTATGACTCCATCTGTTTTCTATGTCTCTGTATTCTTAATAAAGGTTGTCCTACTCATGTTGAGCGGCTAGGGTCTCCGGATTCTGCTATTGACCTATCTTTTTGCTCACCCGATCTCATTTGGTTTTTATCTTGGATCGTTCTCGATGATCCTCACGGTAGTGATCATTTTCCTATATTGGTGTCTGTAACTGCCGGGAATCGTTTCCGTGGTACCCAATTGACTGACCCTTTTCCAAATCCAATTGATGAGTCACGTTGTATCTTCAATCTTAACAAGGCGGATTGGCCTTCTTATTCTCGTCTAATTCAATGCTCGATCTCGTCCATACCTTCTAATCTCCTTTTATCTGATTCATTTTCTACCTTATCGAAGATCGCCGACAGTGCTGCTAAACAATACATACCAGTTAAGAAATCTAATCCTAAAATTTTTTCTTCCTCTCCTCCCTGGTGGAACTCTTCTTGTACTGACACAATCAAGACTGGGTCCCAGCTATTTAAGACTTTTCGTCGT